AGACATGGAGGAGGATCTGCTCCATTTACTCCAAGTTTTCTCTCAAACTCTGCCTTCCTTACATCAAGATCGGTCGAAAAAAGTCAAATAACATGACATTTTTGCAAGACAAGTGATTCTTGCTCCACGTAAAGAAGGGTGTTTGTACCCAAAAGCTTGCAAAAAACATGTTTTCCAACTATTTAGTTGGTCTAATAGAAGATACCACATTGACCCAAAGAACCATGTCTGCCTACATCCTTAGACCAACACGGCTACAACCAACAGCCCCGAAATGTCTCTCTGGAAACCCAGGTCTTCTCAAGAAGAATCCTTCGTTTAAAAGGGATATTCCACCCCAGTAAAGGATATGTCTTGTGTCAAGAAGAGGTAGTAGCAAATGATAGGACAGATTTATGGTCTGAAGAGTGAGATGTTCTATTAATGCCGCAAATGTCTGAAGCTGGACTGTCAAAGCTGGAACAGAGTTGGCTCTTCACTTACACTCCTGATCTCTTTCTCAATTACAGAGCTTTTTTCTAAAGGCACATAAACTCTCTCTCTTTCGGACTCATTAGGATAATTCTTTTTTTTAGTGAGAAGTGAATACTTATTAGTATGATATTTCCATTAATAATGTAGAAGCTATTAGCAGCTGCCCCTAAAAGCTCACTTTCGGTGCAACAACATCAGCTTCTCTATTCTTATACTGCAAGTGCCAGTTTGGAAACCCAATGAGACCAGCAGAAGCCTTCCCAACCAATAGGCTTGGGATCAGGGTCAAACTACTCAGATTGGTATCAGCCTGGTTTCTTTCAACACTTTTGGAAGCTGATGATTTGCAGCTTTTCTTATTGTTTTTAATGTGACTTAATAGGATGGATATGCCTGAAAAGAGCCTGACTTTCCAAAAGGCAAATATTCCAACCAAGCATTTTGTGTTCTAACCAGCTAATGCAAAGGAGCTGATTAAATATAAATGTCCGATAACAGGCAACTAATTAAGTGCTGCATTTAAGCAGTCTTGCTCAGTAAGCTCATAAGATACGAAAGGATTGTTGAAATCATTTAATTTAAAAACAACAGGTAAAAAGAAACAAACAAAGCATGTAGATTAAATGATGTGCTTTTATCTTCCAATGTTCATGTAAGGACTTGTCTAATAGTTTTAAGCACATAAGGAAATAATGTTCTCAGAAAACAAATCAAGGGGGGCGAGGGGGGAGTGAACTTCCCAGAAAGTTCGGAGAACATCACTAGCAAGAAGGAGATCAGTGGCCATTAAACCCAAGCAGTAATGATATGGGCATTTATCCAAATCTAGCTGCAAGTACTGAAAACACTGAGAACAGGACACAGGAGGTGAGAAGCAAATGGGGAAGGGAGGAAACACAGGTTGCTACACAAATCTGCCCACGTCCTGAAAGTAAAGCTGAAGCAGGAGTTTCAATATTACTTGGAGACAAACACAAGTAGCACTTGCTTGCTTTACACCTAAGGCAGTTAGCTTAAAAATCAGAGCTGGAAAGACACGTGTTCTGCACCAGCCTGGCCCATGCGAGTGGATCAGGTGCCACGAAATCGTCATTAGACTTGGCCTGCGAGAAGGTGGCACGCATTGAACATCCTTTCAGCGAGCCTCAAGCCACTCTCTCACAAGAGACTATTAAAAGAGTGAAGCACTGTCATGGGTTAGAGGTCCACTAAGAAACAAAAGTGCTATTTTTTTTTCTGACTGCAGTCAACGTAGGCAACAGAGAGTCTGAAGCATAGTTCACCGTAGACAAAAATAATCTTTTTCTACATTGGTCAGGGGAAACTTGGCTACCAGCATACAAGCCTGCATGTGGGCTGATTTAGCAAGGTCCTCTGGGTCTCCTCAGCCCCCTGGCCTCAGACTTGAAAAGGTTCAGCACTTGTATAGGACAGACCCAGATCCCCAGTATTTAAGAGCTGTAGGACTCATGAGAAGCCGGAGCTACCATGATTTACAGCAGTGGTGCTCAACCGTCTAACCCTATGGGCTAGAGGCAGTTCACAGGCCGGATCCTGCAAGAAGGATCAGTCTGCAGGTGTGATCCATGTGCTGGCCTGATCTTGTGCATGGCTCAGCCCTCCATGCTGGATCTGGCTACAGTGACCCTGAGTGACCATTCTTCCTGCCGCCGAATCTCTGGACCTGTGGGGAGCTCCACAGGCCAGAGGTTGAGCACCACCGAGTTGAACCTCAAATCCATTTCCTGCTATGCCAAGAAGAAAGCACCTGGGAAAAGATAAAGAAATCAACTCTCATTCATCAAAGAGAATTATGCAAAAGCTATAGTTTTTCCTTCCAAATGCCAGAGGGTCACCAAATCATACTTCTCCTAAGACTGCAGGGGAGGGTTTGCTATTATTCACCCCTCTGCCCAAGGAACCTACCTCTCAATTCAAGCTTGGTCAGACAGCCAAACAGGAAAAGCCTGGCCTTTTGCAAAAAAAAAAGTGAACGATTGCATGGTTTTAATCGCCGTATTTGAAAATCACAATCTGATTCTGAACAATGAGTATGTTGCACTTCAATCTGCGGGGCAGGAATGAGGACTCAGACCATCACATCATGAGAACATTAGAAACGCCTCTGGTCCGTCCCAGAAGTAGGCTGACTTCGGAGGGGAGTAATGTTGGGCTAGATGTTTGCCAGCAGATGAGTCTGCCTAACAAAATACAATTCACAACAGACGTAGTAGTGTTAGCAAGTAGTGTCCTAGTGTCAGAGCAGCCAGAAAGGCAAAGGAGCCGCTTACATTTTCAGCATTATAGGAGTGTAGGGGTCATTAAGTCACCTGGTCCAGCCCCCTGGCTCCAGGCTGGATCATCCCTGCCTAGTGCAGGGGGGCTGGACCTGATGATCTTGCAAGTCCCTTCCAGCCCCTAACATCTATGAATCCCTGACTAAAACCATCCTAGCTTGGTGTCTCTCACCTGCCCTTGAAAACTTCCAAGGATGGAGACTTCAGTTTCTCCAGGCAGCCTCTTCCAATGTTTAACCATCCTCAGTCAGAAAGTTCTTCCTAAGCTCCCACCTAAATGTCCTCTGCTGAAGTTTAGGGTCGTTGTTCCTTGTCCTGTTCCCTACATCCATGGAGAAAACCCCATCCCCGTCTTCTCTGTAAATCACCCTTCATGTATTTGAAGACTGTTATCGAATCCCTGCCTCAGTTGTCTCCTCCAGACTAAACAATCCTAGTTCTTTCACCCTTTTCTCATAAGCCGTGTTTCCCAGACCTCTAATCATCTTTGTCACTCTGCTGGACTCCATCCAATCTGTCCGTGTCCACATCCTCTTGAAGTACAGTGCCCAAAACTGGACACAACACTCCCGGTGAGACCCCAGTGGCAAACACAGCAGAAGAATCACTGCCCTTGACTTCCAAGAGACTCTCCTGTTAATACAACCCAGTACACCTTAATTTCTCTTTTTTTCCCCCCTTTTATTTGCAACAAGGAAACGCTCTTGGCTCACACTCAGCTTACCATCTACTGTAACCCCCCAGGTCCTTCCCTGCAGCACTGCATCCTAGTCAGTCATTCCCTAGTTTGTATTTGTGCATGAAGTTATTCCATCCCAAGTGCAGGACTTCATACTTGTCTTTGCTGAATTTCATCCGATTCATTTCAGACCATTTATCCAGGTCATTCTGGATCCTAGAGCTAACCTCTGGAGTGTCTGCAACTCTACTCAGGTTGGTGTCATCCACAAATCTGCTAAACATACTTAATCCCATTGTCTAAATCATTAATGAAGATGTTAAACAGTACTGGACCCAGGACAGATCCTTGGGAAACTCCACGTGATATTTCCTTCCACCTAGATACTGAGACACTGCAAGGGACAAGGGATACTGCAAAGCAGCATCACGGAGAAAGAATTGATGTTTCTTTCAAATGCAAGCCAATAGGCGAGGCATCAACGTAGGAAAACCAAAACCATAATCAGTCCATCGCATCCTGCATGCCCTGCAGGTTATTTCAGATGATGACAGTCATGTGTCATGGTAAAAGGAGAGGGGAAGACAATCAGATCAGATTAGAGAAAGAAGAGGAAGGATCAGAGAGAAGGCTGTACTGGCTTTACCCAGGAGCTGAACTGAGCTGCCATGTGATATTGCCACTTCACTGGGAACCTGACACAACCCCCAAAATGTGCGATTTCATAAGTCAGTGCAACTCGCACCAGTGCACAGAAGTGAGCTGCAGCAAGGAAGCAGCCTGTGGTGCCTGTACACTTCACAGGGTTTAATCCTCATTAAATTAAATAGCTTTATAAAATGTAAACTTGTTTATTTTGGAGCATCACATCAGTGTTTTCACGCACTAGGTTTTTGAACTAATTAAGTCCAGGGCCGGTGCTGAAAAGCGGGATGGTCCCGCGCTGCCCGCCTGCCCCATGCCCTGCCACGCAGCAAGGGGAGCAGGGAGCCGGAAAATGGCACAAGAAAAGAAAAAAAAAGTGGAAGCAATTTGAAAGCAGCAGCAATTTGAAGGGAACTACAAAAAAGTCACAGCACCAACTGGTGGAACAAAAGGCTCATTACACATCTTTGAGTGTCTTTGCGTTTGCACGCAACGAATCCATGAACACGACACTTTAATTCACAGCAAGCCCAACTAAACTATGTCTGAGGAATTTTAGTTTAGACTTTTAAAGCATCCAGAAAACTCACTTGTATGAATAGTCACGCCGTTGCAGTGCAAGAAAGGGCAAAAAATGTGGCGTGTACAAACGCCCCTGGAGAGCAAAGCAAACAGCTCCCCCAGTTTTAATACGGGTATTTTCCCTTCACACATGCATCCAACTCCCAGTTTACCTGCTGTGGAGCCAAAGCAGCCGATTCCTGATGACCCACTTCGTAACACACCAGCAGGTCCATAGGATGGAGTGTAAGAAATCCTTGCTCGCACCACTTCACCCATCACATCCAGGCACTTGGTGGCAAATACCACAGTCTAACTTGACAGGAGTTTACTTACGACAAACAAAGTGAACCCTTCACGTCTCCCACATTAAGAAATGCAGCAATCGTTTTATTAAAACCAATGTACAGCTGAATGTAGCCCAGGACACAGATTTCTCCACTCAGATGCAGAGCCAGGTCACCAGATACTTTACAAACTGTGGCAGCCAGAGGATTTCACCCTTTCAGTCCTCCAGCTGAAGACAACGAGGCCCTCCCTCACTTCAGAAACGGTCCTCATGGGTACTTAATGGCAGCAGCCTCCAAGATAAGGCTGTTTCTCCTGGGCCTACCAAATAATACTTTCTCAAGTATCACCATATGGTAACTGCAGGCAAATGTTGACTTTATCATGGCAACCAGTGTATTACTGTTTTACAAGCTAGGGCAATGCTCTACCAAACCTTGCTATACAAATAAAGTCATTTTAAAGCAGCTCTGCCCCATTCTTTGGCACAGTCTCCCGTAGCTTGCCAGCAAGTTTAGTTTCGGAAACAATCGATTAGCTGGTAGCACTGAGCACCGGAGTCTACAGGCCCAGAGATGAGAACTGAAAGATGATAATGTAATTGAGAAGCTGATTTACAAGACATGGCACACAAGCCACCCCTGACTGAAATCTTCCAGTGGCAGCAGGAAGCCTTATCAAACTATTTCAGCTCTCTTCCAGGTGTGTCCGACAGGACGAAGCAGCATCTGGGCGTTGCATGCTCTGGCATCCCCTTCAATGACTAAAGCTATTCCCGTTTCTGCTGGCTGCTCCATCATTCAAGTAATCCAAAGCATGCAGGAGTCTCAGTAGTGGAACAACAGAGCTTGGTAGAGGCGAGGGAAGTCCAGCCAGCAAGAGATTTTAATTTATTAAAATAAACATGGTCTAAGGCTCCACATTAGTTTTTCAAAAATAAAACACATTAAGAGATAGGAAAACAAACTGGCTGTGCTACGTGTCAGGTCAGGCTCAGAGGTTTTCATGACAACCTGTCAATACAAAATATTCTTTTCCCAGCAAGAGGGAGGAAAGATGATTTGCTACTTAAGATCAACAACGTCCCCATCACGTATCCCTTTAACATTCAACAAATACTACTTCTGCCAGCCGTTCTCACAGGGCCAAAAAGTCTTGTGCACCCTGAAGAAGGAGGAGGGCAAATATTCAGTCTTTGAAATGAACTTCTAACAGGCTTGGCACGATGACTACAAGGATTTTGTTCTAATGGTTGTTCTTGGCTGCCTCCTTTGCTGCAGTAATCAGAGGCGTCAGACTAGCGAGGGGTTTTGCAATCTTCAGGAATTGGTGCTAGGAGAAAAGGAGATGACAATTATTGAGGACATCTGTGAAGTCCAGCAACAGCAGGAAACAACTGCATTGAAGCTACAAGAAGCCTGCACAGTTTATAGTCTAATGATGAGCTCAACTCTCAGGTTACAAAGAATTGGTAAAGCCACAAACCTTTTGAGCTAACCCAGCTCAAGTTCCTGGTTTGCAAAGTTGCAAACTCCTGACTGTGCGCACGCCTTCAACAACACCATACTGTGGTAGTGTTAGAGTGACGTTATAGCTGTGACAGTCCAGGAATTATGCGAGAGGCAAGGATTGTTTGGGATGATATCTTTTATTGGACCCACTGAAAGTCAAGCAAGTTATTGAATGCAAAGCATTTTTCTCCAGATCTGAAGACAGTGGCTTTGCATTCAAAAGCTTCTCTAACTTTATCCCAACTCTTCAGTTGGTCCAATTAAAGAAGCCACCCCCCAAAATCCTTGCCTCCAACAAACCCACCTTGTGGCATGCCAGCCCAGCCAGAGATGTGAGGTCCAGGCTCAAACGGACTTCAGTGGGAGAAGGAAGGTAGGGCATGTCCACAGTGCACTTGGTAAGTGAGGGACATTACCACTGCATCCATCGCATGCATGACACCCAGAGAGCTTCTGCAGGAGCTGAACCAGCACCAACTCATGGACAAACACCCTGGACAGCATGCTTGAATTTGACTCTGAGACTGAGAGGACCAAGACTAAGTGGGAATGGGGATAATATTGTTCTGCACCCTAAAGTTAGAAAGCATTTGGACTATGGAGTCATCCAGGTGCCAAAGCCAGAGGCAGCAAGGATTTGGGAATGGCATGAGTGTCTGCATGGTAGTAGTTTGCAGAATCACAGAAAAATAGGGCTGGAAGGGACCTCCTCAGGTCAACCCCCTGCCTGAGATAGCATCTCCAAACCAAATGGTTTAGGATTGATGCATGAGCAGAGGTCTTGGGAGGAGTAGGCACAAGGCAAAGCTGAATTCAAGAGGGAAGCAAGGAGGGGCAAGGGCTGCAAAGGGAACTTGCTCCACATCACGGTCGGAGCTAAGGACAGCAACAGCAGGGTTTGAGATGTGGCATTTTCACCAGAAGGTCTGTGGTCTGAAGCATTCAAGGGAAGGAAAGCATGGAGCAAATAAGGTGGGGGGCGAAGTACAAGCACAGCCAGGGCTTGCTCCTGTGCAGCTGAAAATGCCATGGGAATAGCTGGCTCCCAGCACCTCCCCGAGGAGCTCAGCGGTCTGCAAGATGAGGATGGGAGCACTCGTCTTGAAACAGGCAGGCAGATCATTGCTCGTGGCTGTGCCCATTACGCTGGGGCAAAAAGGGATTGGACCTAAGACCACAATCTGGAGACAAAATCTTCACCAGCCCACCCCAGGACCTTCTCCTGGAGTCACTTTGCACCTGCCTGCGCCCCCTGGCCATGTTACCTGCAGCAGCTCTTTAGCAGAGCCCCTCTTCTCCACATCCATCTCCAGGCAACGGTTCAGGAAGTCTCTGAATATGGGCGACAGCTTTTCTGGGTTCTGCAGCTCTGGGGTGCCATTGGTAGCGATGAGATACAGGGCCTGAAGCAAACAAGCATCAAGGAAACCGAATATAACAGAACAGGGATTGAAATTCACTCCTGTGTTGAGTCCCACTCCCCCTCTACACCTCACTATGGCTCCTGTTTCCCCTGCATGCTCAGTTCGGAGCAACCTGTTTAGATGCCCAATCACTGCAGTGATTTTCTCACACACAACTGCTGCCAGCCTTCGAAATCATACAGAAGTGGGGCTGGAAGGGACCTCCGGGGGTCACATCTAGTCCAACCCCCTGCCTGAGACAGGATCAGCCCTATCCAAGCCATCCTATACACATCTACTCTTAGCAAAACTGCAGTCAACTTGCCACAACACTATACATAGCACCCTAACCTGCCACAGGTAAAGCAGAAGGGTCTTGCTTCTGTAAAGGTTGTTAATATATGCTCAAGAGATCCTAGGAAGAGGGACACACACCCCTTCAGCACGATCCAGTCCTTTAGTGTTTTATTTTGATAATCTGGATTTGGACCCTACAACCCAGAGCAGTCTGCAAGAAGAGAAACCGCCCATGCTGCACCTCCATCGGAAATTTAACTGGCTTAACTGTATCAGCAGAATAATCCTCATGCTGGAGAAAGGACGTCCATATGGCAACTCTCACCAGTGCAATTACAGCAGTGTAGCTATACCAATACAGCTCTGCCAGTAACATCTCCCTCTGGAGACAAGCCCGTGGAGCCCTATCCTGCCAGGTGCCAAGAGCCCCTATGAAAGAGGGGCTGTAAAGGGATACTCAGTTCCCTTGCGCGAGCAACTATTTTGCCACTAGGGTAAAACAGACCGTTGCAAACAGACCGGCTCTTCACCAAGTACATCTGAAAGGCTCAGGCTGCCAACTCAAGGATTTGGAAGAAAAAGCATGTGTTTGAAAAGCAGTAAGGGGAAAAAGCTAGTTAGATGCTGCCAGGCAGCCTGAAGGTTTTGCAGACACGCTGATCAGATCCTGTAAAGCAATGAATCTCTCGCAGGAGCCTGGGAATTAGGGCAACTCAAATTAAAGGAGGTCAAAAGGTTGCATTACGTGAAACGAGGACAGTAATGCAACACCACTTCCTTGACTTTTTTCTTCCTTGCCACCTCCCCTTCGAGCTTTTCTTCAAGGGCTCACACCAGGCTATACAGTCTTCACCTTTAGGGAGCCACATACCAGTAAGACAGGGAGAAGCTGATGTTCCTCCATTGAGAGAGGGAGAAGTTGTGGTGCGAGGGCGGATGTAGGGGGAAGAGCATTTCAGATGCCGAGTGCAAGGCTGGTGCATATGTTATAGGGGGACAGGAAGTTTGGGCCCTACATTCAGATCAAGTAAAACTCAACACGGAAAGGAGTTTTCAGAGCTAGGAAAGGGGCTTTACTTTCAAAGTTTCTGGCAGAGCTTGCAACCACATCCACCTTTGTCAGAGCATGAGAATCAGAGTGGGAAAGACTGAGACAGCCTGGGTTCAGGGCTTTAAGAAGCCAGGCCCAATATAGGCTTGCAGAACTGCTCTGGCTCCACACTACCCCCAACTTGTGGCTGTGGGGCATTGTGGCAGCCCTGGCCCCTGCCACCTTACAAAGGGGTAAGGGCCATGCTCTGAAGTGGGCCACAGCAGGACAGCATGTCACGGATGAGTCAGCTGCCTCAGAAAGGAAGACTCCTTTCTGAAACTAAAATTTCACACGTTCTGAAAACATCTAAAATTGTCTCATACCTATTTCTAGCCTGGGCAAGGCAAGGGCTGTGGAAAAACACTGCAGGAGAGGATATTCTTGCATTACTGCTGACCTAGTTTAGTAGATGGGCTCAGAGAAGAGCCTAACAAGCCTGCCTCTGCCTAGGGCTGAAAACGGAGATATCCCGAGGAACCTTAGGACGGTCCAGTAGCACCATGCCCGTTCTGCTCTGACCCACTGAGCACTGAAATGGCCCGGCGCTGGCTTACTCTCAGCGGGTTCTCGTTGAGATACGGGGGCTCGCCCTCGATCATTTCGATAGCCATGATGCCCAGAGACCAGATGTCCACTTTGGGGCCATAAGCTTTCCGCGTCACCACCTCAGGAGCCATCCAGTACGGTGTTCCCACCATCGTGCTGCGCTTGCTCTGCTCTGGGGTAATCTGAGCACAGAAGCCAAAGTCGGCTGCAAAAAAAAAGAAAAAAGAAAAAGGTAGGGAGCGTGGTTACTTATAGCTCAGCTGGTTTATCCATACGATGTATGTGCTAATGCCAGAGCATTAGTTTCAAACAAACCTGAACCTATTCTGGATAACTTATTGTTATAGTTAGGCGATGTACATAGGCTTCATGGCTAAAGCATAAGACAAAACTGGACAGATCCTGATCCCACACCTGACCCATACTCAAGCCAACACCCTGTGACCCTGTGTGAAAGGGGGAAGCGTTTCCTTTGCAGGGACACTGTAAAACTTGACCAACAGTAAAATCTGGTTCATTAGTCACTGGAATAACTTGACATCTTGGTCTTATTAGTCGGTGCACTGAAATCCCACCAGGGTCCTATTGATTTCTTAATGTCATCTGTTAAAATACAGTCATTTCCATGCGCATACCAACTGCAATGGAGTGGCACCTGCTAATTAGTCATCTTAAAAGGTACTGACCTATGCCCTCCATAGCACTCATCAAGCCAGTTGATCCTCATAAAAAGCACTGGATACTCTCTTCAGCTTGGAATATTTATAATATTATAATGAAGGAAAAATGTCAAATGCCATTCTTTACCGGGGCTTGCTAGACCTTGCAAAACACAGCAGGAAAAGGTTGAAAATGGAGAACTACTGATAATGAGTCACTCATGGGTAATTAGTTATTACCAAGTCCCTTGGAGTGAAGAATTAACTAGATCCTGCTGCACTTGCAGTGCCTTGAATATGTAAAAAGGACGTGCTTTTATTCTGCATGTACACCACCAAGAAAGTTAACGGGTGCTAGTTCCAATCTGGCATTATGAAAATAGCTTGTTCTGTCTGTGCTCTTTCAGCCAACATGCAGTTTCCACAGTAGAAGTGTCATTCAACCCGTCTGCATTTGATCTGCTGTTTGAACATTTATGTGCAGGCTAAAAAAAAAAAAAAACCAAAAAAAACTCACTGTACTTTTGCACACAGCATGCTCTTCTGATCAAAAGCAGCTCTGTAGAAATGGACCTTTTTTTTTTTCTTTTTGCATAAAACAAGAGGTAAAAAGTCAACATCCGCAAGCCCTACAGAGGCAACACAAGCTGGTTTCTCTCCTGGTCTCAAGCACCATAAACATGATTACCAGCCACTTTCTGACTGTAGACCTTGTTTCAGACAGGATTCTCAGCTTATTTTTCAGATCTCAGGCTGAGCTCGCAGTAACGCTAGCAAAAAGAAAAACCATCTCTGGCTTGTAAACCTGAGGGAGTTTGCTGGTCTCAGTGGCTCCACTGCAATAAGGTCATGGCTTTTATTTTCAGAGAAACTTTTCAAACTCTGCCCCCAAACAGCGGATAATAAAATGCAGTTTGAAAGAGCCGTTGTTATCTAACACAGACAATCGCAGACCTGGCTCTCTAGGTAGCTATTCATAGCTTGGTGCATAGTTAATCTGCTGGAATATTTTCCACTCTGAGAAGCAATTATGTTGAAAATATGGCACCTCCTTACTCAGCAGATCTGTTCCCTGCATGGATTTAGGAGTCGTGTCTGCTGCTCTAATTGACTAAAAGAAGATGTGCGTCTCCTGGTAACCTTGAACAGGCATACATCCAGGTGAGGAGAAGCTGGACTAACTTCTGTCTAATGCACTAACAAAATTGTTTGCTAGGCTCCCAGCAATCACCCCTGTGCAAGCCCACTATTGCTAAGGGCCAGATGTGGTTGCAAAATCTTTATTACTGGTGACAAGGTGCACGGAGGAAAGAATCCAGGTCAGCTCTTAGAGCCCAGGTTGTGCCAAGCAGAGCTAATAGTTTGGGAAAACAGAAAAATAATGATGTCTTTCCTTCCCCCTTTACCATTTTCCACAGTACATTTGCTTAGGCTACAAATAATGAATTGGGGCAGGGAGAAGATTTTGTTGGGTTACATCAAAGGTACATTAAATACACCAAACAAAAAATGGTTGACTCGGGCAAAGCCCACCTGTATTGAAAGCCATGATCTCAAGGCGCAGGGATTCGTGGCTGCACCTTTCGTTAATCCAAACAGATACCACATTAACACCTGTATAAACATGTCTCTGGTCTGCACAGTGGGGAAGTACTTGACAAATGTTAATGATAGACTCCTTGTACCACCCCCATGCATCAAGAAGACAATACACATTTTAATGTGCGGCCTGATAATTAAAGCCATCACCCAAGCTCCCTCATGCGTACTTAGTTTGACAGAGCCATCCATGCCAAGCAGTATGTTGTCGCTTTTGATGTCTCGGTGAATGACTTGACTTGAATGCAGGAATTCCAGAGCCTGAAGACACTGTGAGAAAGGCCACAAGACAGTGTTTTAATTTGAATCAAAGCCTGTCAACAACTTAAGAAAATAGCATTAGGAAAAAAAGCAACTCATCAGTCAAGTCTAAAGAGAGGTGTTCCAAATGCAGGCTTAAAATTTATATAAACCTAGGCAATGTAGCTTGCCTCCACATCAAACCGGCTTTGCCAATGCTGGTACTTTGAAGGCAGGGTAGATATGCACCTTATAGACTAACCAAAGTAGAACGCTATATATTGCAGAAGCTTTAGCCCTTGGAAGCTCAATTTGCTGCTTAGAAAACTTCCACGGGTTGAAGCATGTGTGCGTGCGTGCGAGCGAGCAAGAGATTACATGCACACACCCACCCTACCCCTATAAACTGTAGATCTACCCTGGGTCCTACTTGACTTCTGAATAACACAGCTAACTATGTGTCACAGCATCAGACTAACACAGCTAACTAACACAGCTGTCTCTCTGCTGTAAGACAATCCATGAGGTTGGAGATAAGGCTGATTAGGGTATAATCAATGGACCTGAATCATTATGAGAGTTATGACATTAATGTGCTACCACATCATGCTGGGATTGTTTTGGAGTTTGGTGTTTTTGGAGGGAGGGGTTGGTTTTGGGGGGTGGGGGGTTAGAGGTCCCAAGTGATTGAGACCCACTGACTACCTGGGGGAGCTGAGATGACCCTGGAAAGAAAGACCACCCCAGAAACGTTCAAATGAATAGCGTGCAGGTCTCCAAACACTAACACGGAGAATTGAGTTCTTTATGAGAAGTAGGTCAGACTGAATAAGGACAAAGACAACATTGTTCCTGGGTTCCTCTGGCAGGACCCTGCCTTGCTGCACAAGCCCTAACAAATGGCTCTACAATATCCCAATCAGGACTCGTAATAGAGATGAACCTTTTATTAGACCAAGAAGACTTTTGCAAAGCAAAGTCTTTAATTGCAAGCTTTCGGGCACAAACACCCTTCATCAGGCATTGGGGGAAAGATTGTAAAAGTTCTCCTGGGTAAAAATGAAAGTTCACCTTCTATCCCAGCATTTATACAAAAAAAACCCCAAAAAATCCTTCACTAGAGGTGAGCTGGCCAATTAAAACCCAGGTGGTAACAGAGCTTCCATGGCTCTTCTCAACCCAGTTCATAGTCTTCAAAGGTGTGTGGATGGGACAAA